CAATATAACAGAGGGACCAAGGATAGGTTGTAAATTGGAGATTTTAACTTTTTTAACTATTTTTTCTTTATAAAATTAACAGAAAGTTTATAATTTGTTGTTTGTAATTGATATATAAATTGAAAGTTTATAAGTTATTATTAGTAGCTAATTGAATTAAAGCGGTTATAATTAATTAAAATATATTATATAATATAAAAAATTATATACTATAATATTAATATAATATTAAAACAAAAAAATAAAGAAAAGAGTGAACACAAGTGGTGATTTTACATAAGAGATAGAGTAAGTTAAAATTATTTTATATGCATGTAAATTATTTAAAAGATTAAAGTCTCATTTGATAAACACGATATGATAATTTTTTTTACTCTATCTAATTTTCAACATTAATTTAAATTACATGATATGATAAGTTTATGTTATCTTACTCTTTAATATAAATTTTATCTTATGAGAATAAAACTAAATAACAAAATATAATATTTGGTATATATTAATTATAAAATAAGATAAATATTTATCCTACTCTTATTCTATTATATTCTTATCTAACTTTCATATTTTATTATATTTTTTAGCATGTCTTATCTACCAAACAATTCATGGAGATAAAATTGAAAGATGGTAACTAATTTTTAATAACTTGAATGCTGTTTAAAATAAATTTTTATCTACCAAATTTAATCTACAAACTTTTTTTTAATTTTTTATCAAATTATTAAAAAATATAACTCTTGAATAAATTTAAAATTATATTATATATTAAAAACACGTACTCTATATTTATAGCATTGGTTTGCTCCGGCAATAAGTGACGTGTAAGCCAATTTACTAACTTGACAATTTAAAAAAATGATTTTCTTAATATATTAATAGTTATGAAGTGAAATAATTAATCACATTTTTTATAATGAGAATATCAAGGAGAAATAGCGAGTTAAGATAAATATTTCCTCAAAGATGACATATATGTTTTCTTTTACAATATATGATCTGAAAATAATTACAACTTTTTAAAGTTTAAATAATTAATGACAATTTAAAAATTGTTTTGACTTTGGCAAACTAGTAGCCTTTCTTTAAATAATTAACTTTATAAAAATAATTAACCATATAGATCATGCTTAATACATTTTTTCTGGGTGGTGTAACCATGCAAGCTGCTTAACAATATCTTTATTCTTATTATCTTTAGTTTCCCAACTCCTACCTAAACTTTCAAATTTGTCCCACCCCCTGCATTGTGCTTCAGTGACTATGGAAACGTCCAAAGGTTATTCATTCATGGAATTGGAATTGGGTGTATAGTAAAATATACTTTCCCATAGAAATTTTTCTTTTAACCAATCGTATTTGTTTATTAGTCAAGATCAATCCTTTAAAACACGAAAGTACAGGTCTTAATTTCTCCCCTTTAAAATCGTTAAATCTGAACATATAAAACAAAAGTCAGCAATTAATGGTGTACATATCCACTGCCAAATAGATATAGCACCAGCCAATATATGGAATGATATTGATATGAAACACATTGCATTTTGAATCAAAAACAAGAATTAAGTCTCCTAGCTTACACAGATGCAACTAATTTGTAGAAAAATGGTTTTAAAGTATGAAAAAGTTAATTTAAAGATAAGCGATTCTGACTTAGCTTATGTGTATTTTTTTATCTTCAACTTAACTAGAGTGATTATCTATATATCCTAAGGATTTGTTCAAATTGATATCCTAGTTTTACTTTTATGTGTGATATCTATTATAGTGTAAGTTTATATTTTTGGGGGTCTGGGAGAAAGCTATGAAACGTCCATGCAAAATCTGGCCTTTGGTGGGCTTCTGCTTTGTTGGCCAACGCCCACACCAACCCAAAAGTAGCCTTTTGTGTCTGAGTTTATTAATTTGATTCTTCGTGGTTCTTAAAGGTCAAATTTTAAAACAACTTTGCCTAGGATTTTGACATTTATGAGGATTATTTTTTAATTTGAAACTCCTTTAAGATGTATGCATCTCATTGAGAGAGAGAGAGAGAGAGAGATAAACAAAAATTTAAATAATGTGATAAATAAATAAATTATTACTTTTACTTTCACACTCCATGTTTTCATTGAGAAAGAAAGAGATAAAAATTATTATAAATAATGTGAAAAAATAATATTAAATGAGGAGAAAATGTACAAATTTTTAAGTATGAGTTTTTTTTTAATTAATATAATAAGTTCACATCTAAATAAAAAAATTTATTAAAATTTTGAATTAGTTAAGTGAAAAATGTTAGTAATATATTATTTAATATATCCTTTTTAATACATTTATAGTTATTAACTAAAATTTATTTTAAAAAATATGTACTTTTTACTCGTAATTTAATTTTTATCACTCATAATTTTATAATTTTTAATAAATTTTAACTGACAAAAAAGTATATCAAAAAGTGTATTATTAATCTTCTTGTCAATAAATTTGGATATAAATAAAATCATTTTATAAAAATTTTAGAGACAAAGATAAACACCCCACAATCACCCTGTTATTGAGTGGCAAAGAATATATCAAATTAAAAACCACCAAATAGGGGTGCATAGTCTTATCCATTGAAAGCGTATCTTTGATATATACGCAAAAACTTCAACCACTCCTCAAAAAGAAAGTGTAATAATTAATTAGCTTTAAAAATAAAAAGAACTGGGATTCGATTATAATTGCCCTTTTGACAAAGATTTCTAAGAGGACCTTTATGTTTTCTTATTTGGACGGGAATGACACCTTATTCGGCAGTGATTTTCAACTGAGTTCTTCAAAACACACGCATGGCCACCAATAACACCGTGTACATTCAAAATGGAAAAGAAAACTGAACGATTCCTCATTTTTTATCATTGTAAACATTTTGACTTCTGTCTGTGTATTTGCTGACACGTATCAAGTAAAAGAGAAACTTGGAACCATTTTGGCAAGTAACGTCGCATTTTACAATAAGCAATGACTTTTCCATCTTAATTTGTTCAGAAGCCAAAGATCAAGGCCACTTGAAAAATATAGGAAAAAAAGTGTAGTACTAATCAATAAGAAACAAGAAAGAATAAAAAAAGTATTTAAATATGGCTCAAGAGAAGAAATTAGAAGTTAAATTATTAGAGGGCAATTTTTTTTTTCACCTGAAAACATAGGGAAGTGTTTTTTATTTTATAAAAATGATTGTCAATATTTAGTTACACAATATTCCTTATTCAATTATAGCCACATGGAAAAGAAAATATTGATATGTATCTTATGGTCAATATGTACTGTTGAGCAATTAATTTTTTTCATCTTTGATTGATATAAATCATGATTGTGAATCCTAAGAATTCAAGTACATGCATCCTTCACTTTAAAAATAAGCCTACTTTAGGTAAGTTTGTGTAAAATTAACTAACTTGCTCCAAGGCCAGAATTATTCACATTTTTGGCATTGGGTGGGGGAAAAGAAGAGAGAAATAGGAACAAGGGAAAAAATATATATATGTGTGATGATTAATGTGATAGCAAAATAATAAAAAAAATACAAGAGAAAGTAAGTGTAAAACATGGGTTTTATGTATATATTACAACCAAAAACTAAAGTTAGAAAACATGGTATTAGGGGAACAAAATGCCTTTTCTATCCACTCAACCTCCAAGAATAAGAGATTGGTTACTTTGCACCAAACTTACCAAAAAACCCACAAGTTGTTTCCTTTCTACGAGAATATGAGTGATCCGTACTAAAAAGCCATGCATTATTTCTTAATTTCAAGAGCCACTTGGAGCGTGTTACAGTAGAATGCACCTTGCTCCTTATTATACTTATTGCAAGTAACTATGTATACTTTTACTTTGTTATGAGATATTTTCTTAATCTAGTTATTGTAAAACTATTTAGTTTGATCGATGGGACTTACTTTGTTGACTTCAATGTTGAAACACGTTTGTTTCAATATTCATTCACTAAAAGCTCAACCAAGTGGAAATATAATTATTATTGTTTCATGTTTAAACCAGACAACGTCAAGTGAATTAACTAGATATGCACGAACTTTAGAATTTGAATATCCCAATTCAATTTTAAAAGAAACTGCAGAAAGTAATTGTTATGATCCAATCATTAAAGATTGTTAATAATGTGTTTGATTTTTCATTTGAAAATTATTAGAATTTATGAGTTCAAAGATATTGAATTTTCGATTTAATTATCTTGTTTATTAAAACAACAATAATATTTTCACACTTTTTTCTTACATCATTTTTATTATTATTATTTATCAAATCGCACACCATATCTCTTATTTAATTTCTCACTCTTTTTTTCTTTTTTCTTTCCTATTTTTCTCTTTCTTACATCCAAACAACATCTATTTTAAAAGTGTGAAGGCGTCATCAACCTTATTAAGAAATATCTTAATACTTTAAATTCATGGCTTTTCATTTATATATCCTTTTAGTTGCTTCTGACTCATTAACGACCTATTATTTTAACGAAGATCGATCTTTAAGTCATGCTTTGATCTGAATGTATAAGAGACAGCTTTTATTAAAATTTTGATTTGAAAGTTTTCAAATGAATGACCAAACATGCTTGACGAATGTAATTCATAAAATTCTGATGAGAATTATAGAAGATCATATCACACAAATTAACACCACAAGCCAGCATCCTCATAACACAAATACATTCACCACCCACTCACATATATTTTCATAGTATATAATCAAATAATTTTCATGAACTCCATTGACAACTGGTAAGATATGGCACATATGTAACATATAGCTAATATAGAACATGAATATTCTTTAGGTCTTTTACACAAATGACGGCGAAGCATCCAGGTACATGGTGACCTTATTTGTGGGTACAGAACGTTACTAAAAATTAAGAAAACAAATTAACAATAGCAAAACGAAACTGTGGAAATAAAACACTATTAATTTCATTACTATCACAAATCAAATTGAACTTAACTTTTTAAAAATTTTTAAGGCTTATTGGCGGCAACAATATTCTTGTGACCACCAATGAAACCACCAACTCCACCTATAGCACCAACACCACCTCCAATCCCTCCGACACCTCCTCCAATTCCAAACCCTTTGTAAATACCTCCACCAATTCCACCCACAATGCCACTACCACCTCCGGCTCCTCCTCCATATCCACCACCTAAACCACTACCTCCTCCATATCCACCACCTAATCCACTACCTCCTCCATATCCACCTCCTAAACCACTACCTCCTCCATATCCACCTCCTAAACCACTATCTCCTCCATCTCCACCTCCTAACCCACTACCTCCTCCATACCCACCAGCTCCTCCAACACTACCAACCGATGACCCTCCATTATCAAAGAACCATTCTGGCTTTTTCACCTCTTCCTTTGCTTTCTTCTTCAAGTTCCTTCCTTCTACATATTGGGACATTCCCAACACCAAACATATCCCCAAAATAACCACCGAAATGAACTTCCTCTCCATGACGATCTTGTAATAACTGTGTACTTGGCTACTAATACTAATATGTTATACACACACCTCACTCACAACACCATGTATGTGTAGGGCTCTCTATTTTGCACCATCTATATGCATGCATTTATATAGTTCTCGCGTGCATGAGAAAACAAATGCCACTAGATAATAATCTTTATTTCTAAATGTAAAAAGATGAATATTATTTAATGTACAGTTGAAGGGTTAGGAGAGTGTTGTTTATTGCTACCTCACAAGTTACCTTCCCTCGTAGTAATAGTCCAGCTCTACCACATGCCCAGTAACGTGACGTTCCATTCGCATTCATGATTGGCCATTGCATGTCCACACTATCATTTTTTCTAGAGGAATGTTAGTAACAAATGTTTTATTAATTACATTTTAACATACTTTTTTATTATTTTGATTAACATTTATTAAATTATTGGTGAAACTTATTGAATAAAAAAGGAGACTCGTGTGGTTTTTATTTTCAATAACTTTTAAAAGTGTGAGTTAAAAAATGTTGCTAGCATTTTACTTTTGTCTTTGAGTGGGTATATATAAAGACCTTGTATTCCTCATGCAGCCATTGTACTGTGTCTACAGTAAAGTACCTCTGCCAAGTGTGGAGGCCATTTCTGACGAGCGGTCCATCACTTAATATGCATGACACCAAAATACAGAATAATACGTATATTGGCATAATATTAGCTAAAATATTATATATTGTGATTATTTTGTCAGGGTGGTGGCACCCATCAATAGGTGGTAGACGGTGATGGGGTAATGAATATGACAACGTGGGTTCCGAGACATTTTGCTCAAACCAGAGTACGTGCAATTTAAACCCTTTAATTGCAATCTTAATTTGAGTATATACTCGTAGGAAGAAGCTTGAATTACATAGATGCAGGATTCGCAACTAGTAATTTAAAAAGACAAGCCATAAATGTAAGAACACGACCAGTCTCCATCATCTGTTCGGACAGTTATACTTTGTGGCTACAGTGTCTTGTGACTTAATCTATTCTCTTTTTCTACAAATACTAAAAAATATATTCTCTAACACAAAAGAACACCTAAATATATCCTCATTTAAATATTTAAGAAGCATTCTGGCTATTCTGCTCACTACTTTTTGTGTGTTTGTGCAGAAAGTTGACCTTAAAATAAAAAATATAAATAAATATAGATACGTACACACGGTTCTTCTGGCTTGAATATTTTGCATTCGAATTCCAAGTTCAAAATTTATTGGTTCAGAAAGTTCAAATCATAAAACTAAGATGGGTTTTTATAACTCTTTTGTATAAATCCGTTACTTAATTTTGTGTACGTACATTTTTATTCTTATAATGTGGCAGTGCATGTTTACTTAATTTATTACTGCTCTGCTCATTGTTTTCAGTGTGGTTTCATGTACTCTCCTTTTATATTGGGAAGGTGGTGTTTGGTTTGCATGCATCAAGTTGCCTTATTCTAAGTGGCCAAAAGTAGATAAGCTAAGAAATTACGAATGGGAAAACAAATCTTATAAAACGTGTAGAATAAATGAGTGAATGCTCCTAAGTTTCGTTGCGAATATATATATGAAAGGTTTTGTTTCTTTCTTTAGTTTTAAAACTAAGAAATAGTAAGTTAGAATATCACAGTGTAAATAGAGCAAGGACAAACTTACACGCTCCATATCAATCAAAATTTGAGTTTATATTTTATATCATTATAAATCATTAAAATAAAATTTAAATTTTGATTAATAAATAATATTAATAATATTTAAATAACTGTACCTCAATTTTATCTATGAATAATCGATTCACAATAGTTTTGATTTTTTTGTTTCTGGCAAACGAAAGGAGCTTAAGCTCAAAAAGAAAAGAACTACACAGTTTTGATAAAATGATGGAAAATGAATTTTTTATTAATAATATATTTTGCCTAGATATGGATCAAAGTTATACCCATGAGCATAAGCCCAATAATATTTTGATCCATCTTGAAGGTCCAAAACTTAATTAGCATTGGATCCTCTTCAGCCCAAGCACTTGCCCTTCAGAAACACCGAGCGAGATAGAACACATGTCCGAAAAGTGAAAAATTCCCCAAATTGATCACAACTCAAAAACCCTAACCCAATCCACCCATTCTTCAAATCGCTCCCGATTTCGCTTCCCCAAATTCAAATTCGTCGTCCTTCCTCAAATCCTTTCTCTTTCGTAATCCCGAATTAGAAAACTCAACAGAATAGATAACGCTTATCTTCGATCCCAATAATCACACACTTCCATGGACGACATGGAAGACGATGCAAGGTACCCTCCCAAGTCCTTCTCTTTGAGCCGTCAAAACCCTTCCCACCGCCAAAAACACCCAATTCGAGCCCCCCCATATCACCGACCAGTCCCTACGCGCTACGAGGAAGTTGAAGACGACGACGAAGATGAAGAACCGGACGAATTCGACGACGAAAACGACGACGACGAGGCCCAAAACGGCTACGACGACGACGAAGACGATGGGTATTCGAGAAACCCCAAAAAGAGAAAGGTGCCATCTTCCAACTACGAGTTCGCGCCACGTGTCAAATTCTCATACGGTAACCGTAGTTCTGTTGAGGAATGGACGGAACATGAAACGTTCGTGCTTTTGGAAGTGTGGGGTGACAAGTTTCTTCAACTTGGGAGGAACAGTTTAAGGTCTGAGGAATGGCATGATGTGGCAGAGAAGGTTTCTGAGGAGTTGAAGGTGGAGAGAACAGTGGCACAGTGTAGGAGCATGTTGGATAAGCTTAAGAGAAGGTATAAGAAGGAGAAGAGTAGAATGGATGAGATTGGTGTGGGTTCTTGTAAATGGCCTTTCTTTAAGAAGATGGATATGTTGATGGCTTCATCTGCAAGGCAAGAGTATGGTCTTGCTTGTGGGGTTGATTCTGGTGAATATGTGTTCATGAATACAAGGGTGTATTTGAATAGGTCTAATGGTTTTGATGAGATGAGGGATAGTCCTGGGGAGTCTGAGAGTTCGGAGGAGGAGGAGGAGGATTCCGACGGGGCTGCCGTGCCGAGGAGGTTTCGCGGCGGTGTTGGTGGTGAGGAGGAGGTGGATGAGGAGGAGGATGAGGCTTCATTTCGGGTGTTGGCAGATTCGATTCAGAAGTTCGGGAAGATATATGAGAAGATTGAGAATAGCAAGAGGCAGCAGATGATGGAGTTGGAGAAGATGAGGTTGGATTTTAATAGGGAGTTGGAGCTGCAGAAGAAGCAGATTTTGGAAAGGGCTCAGGCAGAGATTGCCAAAATACAGGAAGGGGATGATGACGAAACTGACACTTCTGCTGAGAATCTCAGTGAATAAATGTTGGTGGGTAGGTAGGTTAATTGCTATTCAAATGTATTTTCTTGTTCTGGCATGCTTGTTTTTTGCCTGTGATTCGGTTATAGCAGGAGGGTACAGATTTCTTCTTGTTTGTGATGATCAGATTTGCTTGGTATGAAATGAAAAATTAGTGAACATTGTTGAATTTTTAGTTGTTCCTTTTAGTTCAAGTATCTATTTATGTAGTTCAGAAACCCAAAAATGTATTATTGCTTGTCTGATAGTTATCTGGATTAAGAAGTTATACTTGTAGGAACTTAACTGGCATTGAATTGATTAATCTAATAATTTAATCAAATTCTTATGCACTGAGGGATAACAAAATTGTGTGAGTATCGACAATTCGATAAAATGTTAGAATGCAGAGCTGGATCAACATTTACACTTTGGGATGCCGAACAACTTCATTAAGTAGTTCAATTATGCAATCTACATAGTTGATTGGTACTTTTGAAATATTCCTCTGAAAGATGAAATGCATGAAGAAATGGCGTTCTGAGTGGATTCCTTTTTTCTTAACCCAATTATTTGCCTTACTTCCGTTGTTTGGTCTTACAAGATTAGAAAAGATCTAGTTAAAGGGCAGTCTGCATTACACAGATTCATTTGCCTTTGACGCATAAGAAGAGGTGTGCTTTCACGCTTTCGAAGGCATAAAATACTCTTTATATCATATCTTGTTTGAATGTATAGTTTCAATGTTTGCACGTTTGATTGTTAATTTTAAATGGTGCAAGGTATCTGAATCTTCTATAATATTTGAAATGATACCATTGTGTTTTATAAATTTTTTTAGGAGTTATTATCTTGGGAAGGGTGGTGATATCTGAATAGAGTGCACAAGTTTTGAAGGAATATCTACCAGCTGAACAAGAGCTGCTCCCGCTAAGGTTTTCGACCTTTATGCATTCCCACAATGAGGAAGTTGATTACGAAGAGTAATATTTTTGTATGGGTAGCCTGCAATAAATTTGGTTCACTTTTAAATAATTTGCTGCACATTTCTGTAACCCATTCCATCCAAATATGTTCCTTCTTTCCTTGAAGGGATGGAAACTAAAAATAGTGTGCTAATCTTGAATGCATCTCCTCGAAATTTTGAGTCTAGATGTCAACTTTTGGGAATTTCGATTGGGGCTCTCAAGCTCGGGCAACTCTTGCCTAATGTGTGGCTACTAGACTCAACCGATCAAAAACTCAAAATAACATTAAAATTATTTTAGGCTTAAATTGTTATTTAATCCCTGTACTTGACTTGCTTTTTGTTTTAGTCCCTGTGAAAAACTTCTACATTTGATCTATATATGAAAAGAAAATTACTAATTGGTCCCTACCAGTTATTAAAGTTATGGTGTTAATGTATTTTTCATGAACGGGACAAAACAAAAAAATAATATATTTTTATATGTAGGGACCCAAACAAAGTAGAAGTATAGGTATTAAAATGAAAAAGTTTAAAAAATAGAGGCTAAATTTAACCTTTTTTTAACTTTGATACACACCAAAATGCAGGGACTAAATTTGTAATTAAGTCTATCTGTAGTGAAGGTTTTGTTGTCTTTTGTGTAAATAAACCTAAATTTTGTATGATACCGATGCCAGGATTAAACAATGGTAAACCTCCGTTGAGGAAATAAATTGATGTTAACTTTGTATGATAGAAGGACTGAATGATATTATTGATGATTGAGTTATTACATTATTTTAGACGTTTTTAAAGGAATAAATCGATATCGTTTTTCATAATTTGAAAATTGATGTAAAATTCTTAAGATAATCAAAGTGATTTCAGAAATTTAAGGAGGTTGACTCAAACAAATATGCATGGCTGTTGGTGTAATACATTGAGCAGAGGTGCTTCATGGGTTTAAAAACCTATCTGAAAAAAGAATTGCTTTGATTTTGCCCACTGAGGAATCAACCAACACTGGCTTCATGTCAATTTTTCTTTTATCTTTTTATATTGCATGTAAGAGAGGAAAATGCTTGCTTCATGTCAGAATTGTCCACTAAGATCAATAATAATGCGGGACAACGGAATAAAATAACATTACTTTACATCAGACTTGAAAAATAAAGAAGTGTGCTACAAAAGATAATGAATGATGTAAAAAATGACTCCAAATGGGATGAATAATCAGAACAAGATTGTGACTATAATGGAAATAACTCATCCTTGAGAGGAGGGCATATCCACTGTATCTGAATATATGTAATCTCCCACAAATCATCATCTTCTCTTGGCTCTAAAATTCCCTCATCCTTCATTTGTGTTATTATCTTTTTCAACAAATCAGGGACTATTTCACTCAGAGTGGATGGACCATACTGTCCCAAATCAGCTTTCATGCATGTGTCCATTCTTCTCAATATGCCTAACCAAAATGTCCTAAAAGCTGGGCTCTCAGTTATCTGTCTCAATGACTGTAAGTACATATCTGTCAATAGCTCCATTGCAAGCTTAAGGGTCCCTTCCATACTTCTTGTTTCCCTCTCAGCATTTTCCCTCCTTGAGTATTCCAACATCTTCTCATGAAGCTCATCAACCATGGCAAAAATCACAAGGTTGAAATAGTTAATGCAGTTTGATGATACATAAAGCAGTTCTTCAGCTAGATTAAAGCTTTTGTGAAGAGATATAACTGCATGATTTCTTATCTCTTCTTGTCTAGATAAGCTTGTCCTTCTAAATGCTTCTCCAAGTTTCACAAACAGATTCATGTTATAGTTTGCAGAAGCTGGGCCTCTACTATTGTCCTCCATAGAGGAATTGCTAGTGTAGCTTGCTGTACTAACATTACTACCTGGATCTGAATATTGGTTTCTTTGCCATTGAACCAACAAGTTTGCTGAATCAGCCAACAGGTCCAGTATCTTCTTCTTTTTGTCTATTGGACTGTTCTTGGCTAAAAAACAACCAAAAGCACAGTCTATGCAAAATGAATAATTTGCACGTGATAGAGTGCCTTCAGAGAATAATGAGATCAAGGCCTCAATTCCCAGATCATAGGTTTCAGGATACCTCCATACAACTGATAACAAATTCAGCACTGACTTCCATCCAATTTGAGTCTGCAAATTTGCAGGGTATTCAATGACTATTTTGCTGATTGTTTGTGATATGATCTCATGGCACGTGTCGAGGATTTCTTTGTCAAGCTTCCACATTAAAGTTATGGACTTGAAAATAAGCTCCTCGGCTAGTTTGTCATCTCTTGGTGCAGAAAAGAGTTTGAGACAAACCTTGAGAAGACCTAAAAGAGCTTTTTCTGCAAATGGGATTGGGGAGAACATGGGAAATTGAGCAACTGCAAGAAGATATTCATGGAAGTTTGGCCAAAATATATGGAATCTGTGAACATTAGCCAATGCTATTGCAGTGATCAAATCCCAACAGAACTCAATTGTTTCTTCTTCCTCCACTGGTGTGCTAAACTTTTGGCCTTTTCCTGCAGACGCAAATATCAAAGATCTTCCCAGGCTCTGCAAGCATTCTTTGGGAATGCTTGAACAGTTGCTAAAGATGCTACCTATTTTGCACATTTTGATCATCTTCAGGTTCTGCTCAAATTCACTACCAAGGCTCAAACCATCATCCATGTTATCTGAAGAAAGAAGCGAAAAACGGGTGAGCATGCTAGCAACTCTTTGACTGCCACTTGCTACAGGTGTTGTTGGGACATCTGATGCCTCAAAATCAATGACAGATTGGGGTATCAGTTTAAGCCTTTTGAGTTTTAACAAGCAATCTACTATGTTCTTCCAACCTCCTTGAATTGAGTCTCTGAAGTAGTTTGCTATGGTGAACACAGCAACTGTTGCCATTCTTGGCTTCAAATCATGACTAAAGGTAAACATAGTCTCTTCTATAGAAGCATAAGGATTTAGCAGTGTCGTAAATTTGCAGAAGGATGTTATGAGCTCATCAAGTGTATCTTCTAGTCCATATTGACAAATCCTTGCAACTCCAAATAACCCTTCAATGCACTCATGGAGAAGCTCCTCATCATCAGCATGCTCAAAAAATGATGATAGAGCAGCCACTGATGGACCAGCAATGCAGGCAAACATATCTCTACACATTCTACGATCATAGTCACATTGTGTGAAAGGTGATGTTACTTTGGATCTGTTTATGAGCTGAATCCACCTACTTGGGGTCATGTCTAATGATACAGTTGTTTGAGCAAGGGCAATTGCATAATTGGAAATAGATTGAAATAGCTCAGAAAGGTACTCTCTAGGCAAATCCTGTCCTGCATTGATTGCTCTATTGTTCCTAATGAATTCCTCTTCTGTCATTTTCTTTTTAACTTGTGGATTGTGCTGATCAGTGTTAAGCATGATGAGGGAGTAGCACAAGATGAGAACAGTGTCTTTGCTTGCAAATATGTCTGAGGATTGATGATCAAAGAATCTCTCCGCAAATGCTTCTAGTACACGTTGAATCTTTTGTGACTCTCCTGGTAGCCTAAAACTTTCTAGATAAAATCTAAGTGCAGTGTCAAGAACCATGCCTTGGAAATGGAAGGTTTCTGTGAATTCTTTGAGAACTTGGAGGTAGAAAGGGTCAGGGTCACCAAGATATTCTCCTATTGTCTTCTTGTCTAGGCCAGGAGTGTAACGAAAGAAGTATGCATATGCCTTGGGATCTGGAGGATCTGAGACTAATTTAGCATGCTTCAAGTACTGAAGACCCTTCTTATTATCTCTATTGAAATGGTTTGCTGCAATCAGTAACTTCTTTTTCTGCATTCTTCTCATCCTTACATGTTCCACCCAAGCTTCCAAGTCATCTTCTCTATCTATTTCTTCCCAAAAGGGTTTATACTCGGCTAATTGAATTGAGTATGGACCTAAAGGGCCTGTTGAACCATCTTTGTCAATATTATCTGCAATGTTGTGAATCACGATCAATAGTCCTTCAAAGGCTTGGATGTTCAAACTAGTGAGGTGGCCATTCATTGGAAATGAGTGCTTGCAAAGCAATCTACCAACATCTTCAAACACATTCCGGCAACATGGATCACAATCACTGTTTGCATAAATTTCAACTATGAATGTTGGTTGTCTGCAGAAATTTATTATTCCTTCAATTGCAACTTCTTGAAGTGGAACTGTGCTCCCTGAAGTTGCAATTCTAAGCAGCACATATCCAAAGAAAGCCTCTAGTTGGAAACGAATAAAACTACAAAAATAAAAATATATAAAATAAGTAAATAAATTGAGAAGAAATGCAAGCAACACCCTCTTTTAAACACACTCTTCCATACACTTCATATAATTGATCTATATATTTTAAAAAGTCAAAGTACTTGTCTTATAAATTTGATAACTTTTTTAATGTTATTTTGAATTTTAAAAAATGAACTCATCACATGAAATGTTTTAAAGAATGTATTAAAAAAAGTGTGATGCTAGGATGTCTAGTATACTGAAACTCTTTCATCAAACTCTATTCAAGCTTTTGTTCTCTCTTTCTTCTAACCTTCTTAGAAAGTGATAGGCATTCAATACGGTGCTACAGATCATGGACAAAACAAACGAACTAGACCATATTCCATAATAAATCAAATGGTGAAAGAGATCATCTTGGATCATCCTCAAAAGCTTTGGGTGCCTCCCTATCTCATCCCCACTAAGTTCTATAGCCGAGTTGATCAAAACAAGTGCAAAAATCTGAACATCTTCATCAGCAGTATGAGAAGTAGACCCATCTGAATCTACTATTGACACAACATTCAACAAAGAGCACAGAAAATGAAATATGTCAATGGCACAACGAACCCCATATCCATATTCCATACCCTCATCTTCATCCTCCATGTCTGACTCTGAGTCCTCTTCTCTTTCCCTAGTCTCAATCTCAGCTAACCTTGTAAACACAGCTTGGATAAGCTCGTGCATGGTGTACCTCGCACTCCTCTGCAGCAAATCTCCTCTACTCGCGGATTGTTGAACAACCTAAAATGGATCCTCTCACGTAAAGGAAGTAGCATGATAATCTCATGTTTTGAGAAAAAAACGACACAAAAAGTAAAATTAATAAAACATACATAACTAATGATGGGTTTCATTATAATTGTTTTATATCTTTGTTTTTTATACAAAGATAATAGCTAACGATTTTTTAATAAGGTGAAGTTTACTACATGAATTAGAAAAATGCTAAATTTTTTTATTATTTTAATTTACAAATCTCTTATTTACATAAAGGCGATACATGTTTTCGAAAATAGTTAAAAATTAATAATTAATTATTATTTCTCAGAAACCATATCTCACTTTTCTGTAAAGAGAAGAATTTGTACGTAGAAATAGTTTTAAAAAAACATTATTTTTATGAATTAAACAATAACATAACGTTCTATCAATATCAACTCCTAATCTCTAAACCATTCTAAGTTTTATTTTATTCTTTAAATATTAAGCTACCCTTCATTTGATCAACTCTTGTAACTCCACTCATTTTCAAACCATCTAACAAGTTAGATACCCAATTTTTTTTCTCTCTAAAAACATGACAAAAGATAACATGGGAGTGTCTTAAATCACCTGAAAGCACGTATTGACAAGGGTGCAAACAGCTTGGTCCGTGAGCAAAGTCGAAGCCCTATGGTTCATTATCGCGCTGAGAAGTTGCAGTATCTTCATCATCACAGCTTCTTCGGAAGCTGGGTCAGTTTTCTCAAGCCTACAGCTTGTGATCCCAGAAACAACAGATTCCATGACTTCTCTTGCACATGGGGACTTGTGATCAAATACTCCGAACTTGAGAATCTTGAGAATGGAAGAGAGAGCAACGCCAGTAGCAGTGGCTGGAACGTCGTCGCTTTGAATGACATCAAGGAAAGGAGAGATATAAATAGAAGGGTCAACGGTGCGCCATTCTTGTTGAGGGTTGAAAATGAGAGAACGAAGGGATCTTAAGGAACTAACAAGGGATGAATCGTTGCTTTCTTCTGATGAAGATATGTTGTAGAGAGGGTTGAATTCTGGTCGACGAATCACTGCCAAAACTGCACCTACTTCCGTGTTTAACATGCATGAGAGTCCAAGTTGTTTTCTCTTGGTTTTGTTTGAGTACTTTTTGTTTTCATAACCGTTCATGAAATCTTCTACGTTATCCATTGCATGCATGAAGGTACAATGGTTCGTTTGATGAAAAAAAGGTTATGGTTGCATGTTAGGGATGTGGGTTCATACTCAACTAAAACTATAGTTTTAGTCTGTTTGTTTGTGCACGGAAATGTTGAAATTTACGGTTTTTTTGGGTTCAGATTGTGTACCGTATGATTGCAGTGAGAGTGAAGAAGACCGAGTACAAAGGAAAGGAGAGGGACTTTTGGAGGGAGTTTCGTATGTGTGTGAGGACACAGAGAATCATGGGAAAAAAGATTGCCGGATTGTTTGGTGAAGAAGTGGTAGATTTAATTTGCTTTGTTTTTTCGTCTTACTGCTATTTTTTATGGTTACGAATTAATATTGTAAGAGAAGTAGCATTTTGTTTTGGAGTAATGTTAAAATTCCTTAGGAAAAATTCAAGCGTTCTTTTCTATGCCACCGATACAAATTGTTAAAAACTCTCTTTTTCTTTCTTTTTTTTTTGCATTTTTTATATTTTTTTTCTTCATCATTTTATCTATAATAAAAGAATTTTTTTAATATATTTGGTATTAACTTCATAATCAAGAAAACGTCACTTTGCAACATACAATTACAACTAATTCATGGATCCGGATTCCATGCAGTCTGCGCGAAAACTGCACCGTGCATTTAGGCAAAATTTTACATTTTCGCTTAAGCAAAAAATGCAAAGACTTAAGCAAAAATAAAAAATCACGTAACGAGACGATACTGAATCCGGATCCCTTATTCATCATTTCTCTCCTTTCTTATCATTCAAACTCTTCTCTTTTCTTTCTCCAAACTCCCAAACAAACCATTCTCTCTCTAAACTCAGTTTTAATGCTTAATCTTTCTTCAACAACCAAATAAAGAAGTGATAAATACATTGCAACGTGTAATTAATTATGTCAAATGATTATTTTTTCGAGTTTGAGTTGTTTTTTTCTTTTCAATTCTATTTTGGGATCAGTTGCTGAGAAATGAACCTGAAAAGAATAAAATCAACCTATACAAATACTGCACTATCTAACTCTTTCCATCGCATGTTTTCTATTGTTCAACTTTCTCCCAAACAAAAAGCAAAAAATAAAAGCCCTGTTTCGCAAAATGAAATGTGCTTAATCACTAACGTATTAAGAATAATTATACAGATTGCCCTATACAAGTCAGATTATTAACCCTACGTATCGCGCTCCCCGTCTCTACTTGCCTGATCTAAATGAAATTTGAAGCTCATACCAAAGACAGACTAATGTATCTAAAACATCTTCGTCATAAGATTTACAATCCTCTATTCGTGAGATAGACACCAAGGTCTTCAACCATTCTTCATGAAGAGTTGAGAACTCTGATCTCTGTTCGCATGACCTAAAACTTTGTCCAATTGATTTTTTCATCTGTTGACTAGCCTTTGAAGCGATGTTTACCGTCTTTTCTGGGATTCCAGCCATGAGGGCTACCTGCAACCCGTAACTCTCCGGACATGCTCCTGAGGCAAGCCGATATAGGAAGACTAGTTCCTGATCACGTTTGGAATAGGTATCAGATTTTGATTTGAAAGCACAAGCCATGTGCTGCATTGTAACATGTGGATGTGAGGCAAATTCTTTTGTTAGCGGATGGTAATGTGTTGCAAATAGCAAGCGACAGTTAACCTTTTCAATCAGATGCCTGAATACCTGTGCAAATCCAGAGAATTATTGAAAGGTAGAAGAAAATTGAAACATTATCAAAGTCATGAATTACTTCAGGTGATGCTGAGCAGAAATTACGGGATAACACAAGAACCTTAACACAATCATATGTTGCAACGTCATTTTCTTTGGATGGACGACCTCGTTACCACAAAACAGTTTTATTTTTGGACTGTTCTTATTTCATTTCCTTTTTCACTGGGCACTAAAAGGAGTGTTTAACTTTGGAGCATGCCCACTCAGTAAAAGTATAGAATAGCAGTACTTAAAAACAGAGCCAAATTTTCATTTAAGAAAATGACAGAAAATAGTGAAGAGCAGTCTCACTGCATATGCAATGGCATAGCCATCAAAAGTGCTTGTTCCCCGACCCAATTCATCAAGGATAACAAGAGAATCTTGAGTTGCATTATGAAGCACTGATGCAGTTTCTGTACACTCAATAAAGAAGGTACCTGAAAAAAACTAGTTTGAGTTACCAATCCATAGAGACAAGAGGTAAGTGTATCTGTACAGATGGACATTTTAAGACTACAATTAATTCTGAAAAACTCTAATAATGGAAGCATCAATGTGTTTAGGTAGGAAACACCGCCAAGCATGTCATGCAACCATAAAGAGCATTTGGTTTTGTAAGTGTACTCACTCTCGCCTGTCATGATTCTATCTTTGGCTCCAAGCCGTGTGAAGATGATATCCACAACTGAGAGAACACAATTTTCACTTGGCACATAACAGCCTAGCTGCAAAAGCACGAGGCATATTAAAAGGGCCACCAGAATAATCTGACAGAGCAAAATGTATAAAATATTAAGATGTAACATGCACTTCGCTTGAGGTTTATAATATCACGTGTCAGCACGCTCAATATCTGTTCTAAGTAAAATGACCATCCTGTTTTTAAATTGGACAATATTTTTCCCTACCAGAAGGTAAAAGATGTGCTACAGTTTTCTTTTTATGCATAACTTGAATTCAGTGAGATCAAAATAGTTTAATGAAAAATTGGTTACTCATCAATGATGTCTATTAGTCTAGCTTAAATAGTTAAAGTGGAGAAGAGGGAAAACCTGGGCCATAATAACAGCTAGACAGGTAGCTCGCAGAAGTGTTGACTTCCCACCCATGTTTGGTCCAGTCAGCAGCAGTGTGCGAGGATGTGACCCATCTTCATTCTCACCAAGGATTATGTCATTGGGGACAGGCAAACATCCACTCTCTGCAAAGGCAAATGGGTGCCATAGTCCCTTCACCTTGAGCACAGGTCCTCCACTGTCTTGTCTTGTTCCTTTTGATGCTGGTACTATGACTGGCCTAGACATAGTTCCACATGAAAAGCTAGAAGTAACAGCGAAAGATCTCAGTACATCAATGCAATTGATAGCATGAACAACTTCAAACCATTGAGCAGCTTTCTCCAAAAATAATTCAGCAAGTATTGTGAGTGTTTCAGCATCCGAATCTGTTACATCATGATTCTGGCAACAAATATACAGTTAAACGTACTCTCAAGTGAAACGTCCTATTCTGACTGCCACCTTAGTAACAAAGCAAATGCAAAGATCACACTATTACATCTGTTCATAAAAATGACAGTTATCAATTATTCAACTTTCCAAAAAATAACAGTGATAGGATGAAATTCATATGGGAGAGAATTATGAGTTTATTAAACCGAAATTCAAATGCCATTACAGAAAGATAAGAGCAAGGCTCCCAGCAGTGGAGAGAATTCTCCAAGCCCAGCCTAAGCTTAGGGAAAAACTGAAAACACCCCCCCTCAACCCCACTCGCTATCCCTTACATTCTCTCTTCTAACTATTCATTCCTCTTGCCCCACCAGCTCACACTTTCTTGCCTTTGTCCTTGGGCCTACGAAAATAGACCTTTTCCCATCTGTTCTTATTTGGTTGGGCCTTCGTAGCATTTCGCCCATCAATCAGCAACGGTCACCACTCGAATTTGTAATTTCCAAATGAAATAACAGCACACCCAGAGGCACATGCTAATTTTTAATCTATATTCAGATCAACAGATTTAATAAAAAGAAATTTCAGGCATAGCTCCTGGGCTGGAAGAATATGAGGAGGAAGTTTCAGTTCTTATTATTTTAAAATGCAATAAGGAAGAACAATACCTGGTAATTTGGGAAGTCACTAACTACAGCTGCTTCAAATTGAGTAAGAAATTGATCGAGCCCATTACTACCAGTCAGAATTGGAAGCTTAAAAACTTTGGTCAGAGATGATATTAAAGGTTGCTCTTTCTGCAGAAGAAGCAACAATCCCAAAGCAGTCCGAAAGCCTTTCACAAGAGACCCAAAAACTTTGACCTGTATTATATTATAAGTTAATGGGGACTAAATAACAGAAAAGCAGTACGACAAAAATCATTCAACTTCAGTACAAATTTGTTTATATCAATTAGTCTAAAAACCCTAAATGAGTATATAGGTTAGCCAGCGTGGACAACTAAGTTTTCAACAATCAATATGACCGGATTTTTTTTTCTTTATAGGATAAATTTCTCGAATACTGAATTCAGTGTTCATGTGATATCCACGTGCTTTTCCTTCTAACAAAGCAACTTAGATATGAGAGACAAACACAAGTATCTTGATAATCAAATGGGATGTTGCCAGCAGGTTTTTGTTTTTTTTTTCTTACAACATTAAAATTATAGGTTAGGGCAAAAATGGATATAGAAAAATTGTTCAGAAATTGGACTAAGAAATAACTAGCATATCCTTTACAAATTTGGCATAAAAAAGAGTAACAAAACTCACTCTCTGCTTCAATGTTTTCTTTCGCAACAATGGCAGTAAGAGAGGGCCTGATAGTTGAAGGCTGGATTTAAGTCGGGCAAGCAAGTGTTCCAAGTCTGGAAGCTTCCGAAGATGTTGAGCAATATGTGATACAATCTCAGGGTAAGACACTAGATCATCCACTACATCAAGCCTGTTATTAATTCCTTCAGCATCTTTTAATGGACAGCAGATCCAATTCCTAAGAAGCCGCTTTCCAGATGAAGTTACACAGTTATCAAGATAATTGTACAATGAGCCTGAAACTCAAGCAGAATGGATGTCATGATTTCATACTGAAATTTCCAATGAAAATAATCTGGAAAATTAAGAGTACACAAAAAGAACAAGAACTAGCCTGATTTGCCACCATCCTCATTATTGCCAAAGATTTCTAGATTTATCAATGTTGGACCGTCCATTTTGAGGCAACCACTATAAACTTGATATGGATATATATCCCCATTCTGTAGGATATCAACTAACTGCATGAAAATTGAAAAGTAGAACAGATTAATTATCCTAAACAACATACACACACAGTCTTTTAAGTGCTAACCCTATCAAGAAGGGAATCATTGTAAGCACAAAAGTATACCATCAATCTATCAAGATGACCAATCAGTCCACCAAGAGCAGACAAGGTGCTTTCACGATGAACCACATTGCTCAGTACATGATCCAGTGCATGAGAGGATCCCTTGAAGTATCCCTTTGAGCAAATTAAATCCCTAATTTCAGTGTTAACCAAATCAGTGATCGACTGCACTGGAGTGAACTGTAGTGTGGTTGAACCTACAAGAGGACCAGAAGCCAATAATGAGATTCCAGGATGCTTTTTAAATTTTAAAATAAATAAATTCAACTGAGCATATTAAAAAGTTGATATTTTGCCAAAGTATCTAACTGCAACAAAGTACAAATATTTGAGACTATTATTCGTAATGCAACTTGTCATAATGTAAGTGCATAATCTTTTTGTCAATCAAATAATAAATTACAAGCAATTTGGCATATAAACATAATATAAAATGCATAAATATGACTGTTTACAGATGAAGGTAATGTCCACATCATAGGGATACAGTTACAAGTATTAACTGCATATGTCATTCATAATGCACATTTCGTATTGTGTATGTATTAAAACATCACTTATCTTTTAAGTCAAAGCAAAACTAGCTCCATCAAGGCATAACTTAAGTTGCAATAGTTTACCAATACTAGATGCCTGTTATTAACTTATCATACAAAATCGTCCAGAATGGTAATTTTCCAGCCAGTCTTTTTGTAATTCACATATAGCTTCCAGGGAAAGCATAATAAATAAAGTAGCAGAAACATCCATTTAAAATCTGGAATGTTTTCAATATCATGCTAGTGTATCCCTAAACCACAACGGAATATCACATCTCACCATTCAACGAGAATTTTCTAAGAGCTTTCTGAGCTTCTTTGGACAACCCTGTAAAACATCATTTTTTAATATGAAGTAATAATCTTATATAATCTCAGGAATTATAATGCATTCAAGTCAGAAGAAATTATAGCAACACACACATTAATACATTATTTCCAATACATTTCTTATTATTGGATAAATTTCATGTGGGCCCCATTCTATAGAAATTGGGCTCCCTGGCTCATGTTATTCAGGAAAATCCACATAAAATTCACCCATTAATAGTGTGTCAGAAAACATGTATCAAAGATTGTGAAGCCAAAATTTCACTTCAAGTTAAAGACAAAGTAATATGACTGTGCACCTCTGCTTTCATACATAACTTCCCTGGGTGACACCTAAAATCCCATTCCAGAATCACATTAGCTAACAAACAGAATACAAAAGAGGAATTGGCAAAAGAAGGGGTATTGTGAGCATACTTGCATCAATAAAGCCCCCAAAGCAGAACAGGATGCATCATCATCTATAGAACCAACCCAAAATCTAAGCCGAGCACAATCAACAAAAGCAAATCCGTACACAACTGAACCATTATCCAAACCATTGTTCCCCTGTAGAAAACACTTAACTCACCATCATATTAAAAAATTCAAAGTATTAACATTATACATTAGAGATATTCAGAATAGCATACAAAAAATGAATAACTTAGCAATAGTGAGAAGTGAGAACCTCTTTAATTGCAAGAAGATGATTGGCATCAGGACCAATATTACCATCCACAGTGGTTGATGGAGTGACTACCTGAACTAATTTTCTCTGAACAACCTGCAATCCAGTGGTGAGGATCATACCATGCAAAAAAGCAGTCAACTTGTAGGCATTAAAGATACTGGTTACAACATTATACAAAGATTGATCTGAAGTCTGTTATAATAATTTAATAAACAAAGAAAGAAACATTTTCAAATGACAACAGTGAGTCCTATCCTATCAATCAAGTTTACTGTCTAAAATATCAATTAGGAACTTCATAAAAAATTGCCTGCATCATATTGGATAAAATCAAATAATTAAAACATCTACAGAATATATTAAAAAAATATTCATTGAAGCATAACTCATCAAGCACAGCCAAATAATTAAAACATCTACATGAATTTTCTGATGCTAGGTAGCCAACACGACTGTGAGCATAGGAAAACTTACAGAGTTGGCTCCTCTAGCTTTTGCTTGTTCAGATGTCTCCAATTGCTCCACTCGTCCAACCTTATATCTTGACAAAGAAAAAGGCATACTAAGTCTACAAGTTAACTAGGACATCAACCTCTAAATTTAAAGTAAACTTCAGACTAGTCCTCTTGAGATTGTGTAAGTTGGAGATTTTAGTCTCTAAAATTTCTAAAAGCATACGCTAGTCATCAACTTTGTAAAGAGTATTTTACTTTAATTGTTTCACTTTATTTTTTCACTGTTATCTTGCCCCAAAAAAGATTAAAACAACTGACATTTTATAAATTCAAGGACTAGCAAATGATTTTTAAATTTTTAAGAACTAAAATGCTCAACTCATACAATCTCAAGGACTAATATGGGAGATTACTTGTAAATTTATCATTGAAACTTAATGCATTTACTCCAATCTATCTAGAATTAGCTATGATTATCCCTATGGTGCACAAAATCTCCATTTAGCATACAATAAATATAGATAAACTATTAGATCAAATCCATTCCATCCTTACCCACGAGCAACCAGGCTTTGAACAGCATTATCAATCCCACTTTCAGATATACCAACCTGAATCAACAAGTAAAAACCACTCAATTAAGAGATTAACTAAAAGGAAAATAGATCAAGAACCAAACAAATATAAACATGAAATCACCTGCCGACATTTTCCCACGCCACTTAATGTTATTTTCCAATCAAGCTCCTTATGGCCAATCTCAGCATCCATTTCATAAAGCTCGTAAAACTTTCCCTGTGTTGACCATTTATTATGGCACACTATTATTAACAAAGGCATATGCATAAAAAAAGAATTAATAATATAAAACATTAAAACGTCAATATTCAAAGTGCTTGATTGACTAACCACTTTAAAAAATAGCACAACATCCATATATTTACATTTGACACTCCAATACTGTTTCTGTGATGCTGACATTTTTTTCAAAACTTCTGGAGGTATATAAAGTGTCGTCCTGTCATATAAAGGATCATTGGGTCTTCTTCCTTTAGCATCCCTGATTCGAGAATTATCGAGCCATTCAAACTTGCTAGCCAGTTCTGCTTCCTTCTCAGTCATGTTCACAGCTTTTGATTCCTCAAGAAATCTGACTCGTTTGCCAGAATCCAGCAAGGAACAAAACTTGGATCCATCCTCGCGACTTCGCTTTGCATGAGAAGCAAGAGGCTGCATCCCTGGGGTTACTGGTCCAGTAATATCATCATCAGTTTCAATCTCGATGATGTTTTCCTGATTAATCGTCTTTTCCTTGAATTTTGCAGCATTATCCCTTGCTTTTACCAAAGGTTGAGAAGCTGCTTCTTTACGGTTACTTTCAGTACATAGTCCCGATGATGAAGATTTAGGCAAACTAACATTTGACAAGTGGCTCCTGCAAAACAATTTGCACACTAACATCGTTATGATTCAGGAACTGTTTCAACTTTCAATTTCAGCAGCATTGTTTGTTCCGCACCGTCTAAGTCGCTAAATAATGAAGTTCTGTTGAAGTGTTTCAAATTTCAAAAAATGCCTATTCGTGCTTTAATTTCAATGTACATTGTACTATTAATTTTATATAGTTCAATGACAACCCCTCAGCATTATTTTCTAGTAAATTATTAAAACTAAATCCATCGGTGTTTTATATGCAAAAGAATACGAAAGCAATAGAAGAAAATACTGAAAACTTAAAAAAGATAACAGACATTCATTTTCTCGGCAAAAAAATTCTGACTGCATATACCTCTGAATAACTCTTTCGTCATCATCGACCTTGACGAATTTGTGCATGATGCTCTCAAATAGGGACGGACCAAATTTGTTCTCACTTGGCGCGAAACTCGCCGGTAAAACCTGACGTGGCACCTTCTCCGGCGGCGTGTCGGTTCCTCTGACGTCATCGGCCGTCGGCTGCTGATTGAAGGCGGCAGTGTCAATACGGTCGGCTTGCTGAACCGATGAACCGGGAGCTCGCCCTAGGCCGGAACTGCGGTTTTCCGGCGTGGTTTTGTGGAAAAATGAAAGTAAGGATTTCTGGCGATTCATCTTCAATAGAGAGAGAGAGATAGGTTTAGTAACCTATAAACGGCCACAGAGGTAAAAAAAAAAAAACAAAAGAAAGAAGAGATGTCTTCAGAAAGTGAAAATTTTGGCGCCAAAAAAATTAGTGTAGCAACAGGTTAATGTGCGGGCCTTATTGCGGGTTGACTTAAATAAGGAAAAAGAAAAGATTATTTGATCCTCCTAATAATTTCTTAATCTAACTTATATTCGATTTTTTTTAACAGAAAAAATTATTTTAATATTTTTATAATTTGACTTTGAATTTTAATATTCGATTAGATGATTTAATTTTTATAATTTTATTTTAAATTTAGTTATAAAATAATAAATAAAATATTTTAATATTTTTGTATATGTTTTAAGTAAAGCTTATTTTTTACATAAAGTATATAATTTATGTGAAAATAAATAATACACAGAAACAACATTAACATTTAAACCACTCTAAAATAAATAATTTTATAAGCGCGATAAAATAAAAATAAGATACAATTTTATAAACATTATTGATAACATTTTTGTGTACTATATGAGTATTATTATGTTAAATTAAATTATTTTAAATAAATATTTACAAATATCATAAACAATTTTAAAATTTAATAATTTTATAATAACTAATATTATAATTATTAATAATAAATATTTATTATTTTAAATACAGTTTAAAAAATACAAAATTTAATATTAAATTAAAAAATATAATGTAAAAAATTACTTAATATAATTAACAAAATTCTACAATTTTCTCGTATGAAAATACTTTTAAAAGAGCTCCCGTTAAAAATTACTTGTAAAAATAATCTTGTGTAATTATTAGTATTCACAATTTAGACATAGAAGCAGATTGATAATTTTGTAAATATGAATAAAAAATTTAATTGTATAAACATACATAATTTTAATTTATATTGTTTTGATTTTTAAAATTAAATTAATTTTTTTAATTATTAAGACATAGTAGAATTAGATATTTTTACCGTACTGCGACTCCGCTTCACTTTTTAATTTCGCATTAGAATTAATTGCTTAGTTTTGCTTGACTTTTAAAAAATATGTATATAGGTTATATTTAGGCATTTTGTTTAATAAACTATTTCTATAATAATTTCTATACGAGAGTTTATGCAAGAAAAATTAATCATAAAATTTAATAAAATAAACTAAAAATAATTTATATTAATAAATTATAAAAAAAACTATTAAATTAAGCTTAAAAAATTCTAAAAAGTCATAAGCCATTTATAAATAATTCTGAAGAATTTAATAGAAAAAAAAATCATACAATTTATTTTTGTTATAAAGCATCATACTGAAAAAGAAACACAAACTTACACATTTGAGCTGATTCTGATTGAATGTTACAGTTTACATAATAATTTTTTAAATTGTATGAATTGAATACTTTTATTTTTAAAATTTAAATTAATAAAATTTTATAAGCATTATTATGAACTTTACACGTTTATTATTTAATTGACCAAAGAATTATAGAAATATATTTTAATACAGTCTTTATTACTAATTTAAAAATGTTAAATTAAATTTAGAATCGTGGCACGCAAGCAAGAACGCTTGCCACGTAATGGTTCATCTTCCTAAATCCAATAACTGAACTTTCTGGAGAAAACGCGAATCGAATTGACCGTCACACTCACGCATGGAAATAGAACGTTCCAGACACTCACGCATGGAAATATAATACCCATTGATTCATCATTCACACACCGTTTCATTCATTAAGACATTGTTGTTTTCATTACCTTAACTTGCGACGATGCCGACCCGATCAACGGGAGTGATAACCCAAGACTGGGAGCCCGTGGTGCTGCACAAGTCCAGGCCCAAGGCCCACGACCTGCGAAACCCGAAGGCCGTCAACCAGGCCCTACGCTCCGGAACGGAGGTTCTAACGGTGAAGAAGTTCGACGGCGGTTCCAACAGAAAGCCCGGTCCAGCTCTGAACACGAGGAAGCTTGACGAGGGGACGGAACCTGCGACTCTGGAGCGCGTGGCGGGGGAGGTGCGGCACGCGATACAGAAGGCGCGTTTGGAGAAGAAGATGAGTCAGGCTGAGCTGGCGAAGCAGATTAACGAGAGGACGCAGGTTGTGCAGGAATACGAGAATGGCAAGGCTTTGCCTAACCAGGCCGTGCTTGCTAAGATGGAGAGAGTCCTCGGTGTCAAGCTCAGGGGCAAAATCGCTAAGTGAAAGCAATTCAGGATTAAGGAATTTAAGGCTCTAGTGTAATTATTTATTCAGGACCCAAATCTCACTGTATAATGTTGTGTTCTTTTACGTTTCAACTTTTTATGTTCCTGTTATTCTCTAATTTAATCCCTCTATTAAAGTTTTACATTAAATTTCAGCACATTAATCTAAATTTAGTAAAAGTAAACGGTTAGGTTAAGGGGGAAGTTTTATTTTAGTTAAAAAAATATATAATCAAAAGAATATCATTTAGTAGGCTATTTAAATCTTTCATAATGAATTTTTGTCATTAAATCAGATTTTTATAAGAAAACTTTTAAGGTATTATTGGAACTGGTTCAAATGGGATCGGTTTAAAAAGCTTCTATGTGCCGAGTTCGGGGCTGAACCTATGCTCTGCCTCCGTGTTATCTTATCCGGTGATGATATCTTGACACTTCTTATATGAACTTGATTGGGTATATGGAAAAGAAAAATAGGAAGAAAAAGGAAAAAGGAAAAAAATATGATAGATAATGTGTGAAATAACAATAAATTTAATTGAATGCATCGACCTATTCCATTCGAAATAGAGAGAAAAGATAAAACATAATAGATTGGATAAAACAAACATGCATGTCCCAATTTTATTGCTTAAATGAAGAATATTGGCTGAAACTCGTGTCTTGTTCAGCACAATTTGTAACACACACAGATCTCACAGGACACATAATTCAAAGCCAAGGAGAATTGTAAATGGGTGTTACAACAGATTTAACTTGTAAGTACTTGTGGAGGGCCTCCGATCCTGATTCTCTTCCAAATCCACTCATCTTATAACCTCCATAAGGAATATCATTCCCAAAGGCAAGATAACAGTTGATCCAAACAATGCCTGCACGAATCGACCTTGACATAGTATTTGCTGTATCTATGTTTTTTGTCACAATTCCTGCAGCTAAGCCATATCTCGTGTTGTTGGCACTTTTAATTGCTTCCTCCATGGTTCTGTTCATATATAATACTTAAATTTAGTTATCATCAACAAATGCACATATTTCTGATAACCACAAAAGTTAAAATAACGAATTTAAAAGAGCTTATAAAAATTTTATAAAGATAAATAAATAAAATAAAATAAAATGTTGAGCTATTATATGGTGACTCTAGAAATAACTCCATGAATTCCAACTGCTAGTATTTAGATCCATTTTTTTATATAACTTACTAAATAAACTAAACATCAATGAGTTTCTTGATCAAATTTATAACATGAACTTCTTATGAAATTGAAACTTATTAAATTAATGTTTAATTAAATTATTATCCAAACGCATCTTAAAGAAATAAAAATATTAACTTACTTAAATTTCATCAGTGCCATCACGGGACCAAATATTTCATCCTTTGCGATAAGCATGTCCTCCTAAACAAGTTGTTAAGAATAAAAAGCAAAAGACAATGTGATAGTTAATTATCTAATTGTTCTAATGAAACCCACTTTGACTCTTTTGTGGATTTAGAAATCACCTTAACATTGGAGAAAATTGTAGGCTCAATGTAGTATCCCTTGTTGCCTAGTCTTTTTCCCCCTGTCAAAAGGGTGGCTCCTTCTCTTTTTCCATGCTCAATATAAGAGAGAATTTTTTCAAATTGCTTTTTGTCAACCTACACTAGGAAATTGTTAGACAATAAAAAAGGGTCTTAAATCTTAATTAGTAAACTTATCTCATTTCTCTGTTTTAGAACAAGTAAAAACATAATTGAGATGTGCTACTATATCCACACCTGAGGACCTTGCTGAACTTTAGGATCAAAAGGATCCCCAACCACCCAAGCTTTTGCCTTTTCCACCAACTTTTTCTCAAATTCATCATAGATTCTTTCCTGAACAAATACACGAGACCCCGCAACACAAATTTCTCCCTGAAAATCACACAAGAAGAGAAAAAAAAACTATTAGAAAATGTACAAAATGAGCTGTTATATGTATAAAGAACAGGGTTTCTTGAAAGAATATTCACCTTGTTAAATACAACACCTAAGAGAGCAAGCTCAACGGCTTTATTTATATCAGCATCATCAAAAATTACGATGGGTGACTTGCCTCCTAATTCAAGTGAAACTGGTTTCAAATTACTGTTAGCTGCAGCACGCATTATTTCACGGCCTATTTCTGTTGAACCAGTAAAGCTGACCTACACATGCACAATCAATCCCTTTCAATCAGTCTAACTTTCAAGTCCATGAATGGAATTGGATCCATATTTTGAATTTCATAAAATTATGTTCATTTCAATGTAAAATGATTCTACAAAAAAAATGATGTTTAATTGCCCTTAACCAAAATTAATTTTACTTTCAAATTCACGTGTGAGCTAATGCTAAGCATTCATGTTTACTCCGATTCATAATTTTACTTTCAATCAACACATTTGGATTCATATTTAAGTGTTTATGCATTTACGTTTACATCAAAGTTACTAAGTAAAATTGTAATTTTAAGTCTACATTTACAAAGTTTTCAATGCTTTTTCATGCACATATTATAACTTTTGTGTTGAGTTAAAGTATTTATAATTTTATATTGAATTTTACTATGAACTTACTTTTAAAGAAAAACGTTTCAAACATAAATTACATAATTTTATACTCACTTTTATATAAAATAATGTTCATTCAAACTCAAGTTTATATATCTCATCCGTTTAACACACTAAACCATGATACTTCCAAATGTTTGGTATGTAATTAAGTTACTACCATATCGATGTCCATGTGTGAACTTATTGCAGCACCTGCAGTTGGGCCAAATCCAGGAACCACATTGAGTACTCCATCTGGAATTCCAGCCTTCAAAAGATAAAAGCAAGGAAAACCAATTAACTTACCCTCTAGTAATTAACTTGTAAATGCCAATTATGTTTTATTCATGAAATGAAACATTTGTTGAAAGAACATACCAGCTTAGCTAAATGAGCATAAAACAAAGCTGAGAGAGGTGTTTGTTCTGCAGGCTTGAGGACCATAGTGCAACCAGCAGCCAATGCAGGACTAACCTTGGTGAAAAACATGGAAGTAGGGAAATTCCAAGGAATGATATGTCCCACAACACCAATTGGTTCTAGTAAAGTATATGCATGCAACTCTCTAGGAGGTTTTAAGACCTCTCCATGAATTTTATCAGCAGCACCAGCATAGTAACGTATAGTATTTGCTGCTGAAGGAATTTCAAGAGCCTTACACCGATGGTACAACTTTCCAGCATCAATGGCATCTAGTGCTGCTAATTCTTCTACATTTTGATCAATTAGATCTGCCCATTTCATCATAATTCTTGCTCTTTCCTGATTGACCCATCATTTTATGTTTAATATGTTGCAAAAGACAACGAAAAATGACAAGTAAAAATTGAAGCTTTTGTTTATTTATTTTTCTCATTTTTGTTAGGTAATTTGAAAAACTTTAAAACAGACAAGCATACTATAAGGATATTAGAGTTACTAATCCATATTATTAAGAAAATAACAAAGTTTCTAAATTCATGAAAATGGCTTCTCTTGTATTATAATATTCTTTCCTGAGTTCGTTTCATGAAGGGAAAATTTGAGATAAAAAAATTATGTGATTAAATAAAAATATACATATTTGTCTATTTTCATGTATTTAAACTCTAAAACAGACTTAATTAAATAAAAATACAAATAATTATTTAATTTCCTTAAAGTTTCTGTCATACATATAGTTTTATGACTTTGTATAAAACTATGAAGTATTTTTAATTTTAAAATTACAAGAATGTTCTATCATACTGCTTTCTTACTTTTAATATTTATGGTAATAAGTTAATATTAAAGGGTAAAGAAATGATAAGATACCGCGCCGGGCATGCGGGGCCATGGACCATAGTCAAAAGCCACACGAGAAGCTTTCACAGCAACATCAATGTCTTCTTTTTTTCCTTCTGCCACCCTTGCAATTACCTCTCCCGTTCTTGGGTCTATTGTCTCAAATTCTCGTCCTATTTTTTTATTATACAAAGAAACGAAAAAGCTTAGGCACCAAGAACATGAATCTTTTATCATCAATTTATTTATCTTAAAATAATGTTAGTGGTTGGCTTTGTCATGAATAATCATGATATCTTGGTTTTCTTTTTACTATAAATATGAATAAAATAAAATATTAGTTGTGTAGCATTATTGAGAATATAAACCTTTTTGGTTTGCCATTCAACTTATATAATTAGATGTCCGTCAATAACGGGGTTACATAAACTAATGCCTAAAAATGAATCTAGCACATATTTTAATTCAAGTTGAAACGTTTACACAAGACGTCGTTTATACAATCCACTGAGGGAACAAAATTTGGTGCATGCCAATGTGGGTCTACAACTTTATAGTAAACAAACAAGTGATAATTTTGGTCTTATTATTGCCGATTTGAATTATTTATTATTCAAATAGAATTAGTTAAAACAAAATGTTAATATTTCGAAACATTGATGTACTAATCGATTCACCACTTACTACACATCTTACCGCTATAACCTTTAGAACTTGGTTTTCCTCATCAACTATGTATAGAAGTGACGTGTGATGTTTCATTAATTTGGGGTAGTGCTCTACTTATGAGGAAACAAAGGGAAATAATTGAGGGAGGTATGAATGAATAACCCAGAAAGAAGTGGAAGTGAAGGGCATATATAAAAGGAAAGAATAGAGAGAGAAAAGTGTTTACTAAGTTTAAGATTAAGAACCTGAAAGAGAATCAACAAAATCTCCATTGATGAAGAGCTTGGTGAACTTGATGGTGGGCATTTTGAAGTCCTGATCAGCCATGTTGGTGTAGGACAATGAAGTGGGAACAAAGCAAGTTGAAGAAACTATTGAGGGAGGATATGAGATAAATGAGATAGGGGAATTCATTATATATAAAAGAACGAAAGATCCAAAAAAGAAGAATCTTTTAAAACATTTCGTGTTATAGATGAGTCTAACACGTGACAGAGAATTTTTTTAATAAAAAATAAACTTATAAACAAACATATAAGTTAATATATGCTTTTTAATTTTACATTTCATGCATTTAAATTCACAATTTATTTAACTTTAATGAACTATCAATACATTATTATTTATTTGAAAAAAAATTATAAAAAAGGTTAGTTGAATTGCATCTCAAACCTACACAATAACTCTAAAAAATATATAATTTTAAAAATTGCAGTTATTCGTTATCGAATTACAAAATAATATTAAATAGGTGTATATATAATGTTTTAAACTTCTTTTTACAACAACCCCGCCGACCTTCTTGGAATACTCATTTTTTAAGTCTTTTTTTACTATTATTAATTTTCTATACTGTGAGCATGTGATTATTTTATTTTATTTTTTACTTTTTGTACGAAATAGTAAAATTAATAAAATGATAATATAAATTAGTCTTTAGTAGTGTTAGGTCAGATTAGAAAGTTCGTTTAGAGCTAATTATTTAAGATTTGAATTCTTTCATGTTTGACGGCAACATTATTCTAATGTTCAAATTCGCTTAAGCGAATTTTAAACGACTTAAGTAAATTAAAAATAATTTAAGCAAATTATACAAAAAAAAAAAAAATTATGTAGAAAATAATATGTTATCAAAGGATAAAATTTTATAAAATTTATTATCAAAGTCAATTTTACTCATCCAAAAATATTTAACTATGGCAGCAAAATATAAATAAAAACTCCATTTTATTAATGGGACACAATTGTTTACAATGAAATTTACCAAAAAAAAATTCATTAATACATAGACAAGTCAAAAATAAAAGAAGCTGAGACATTCTATTTCATTCCATTCATATCAAATATCATCCGAGAATAAATGGGAGAGGATGAATGCTCCTCATCCTCTCTCATTTATTCTCGGATGATATTTGATATGAATGAAATGAAATAGAATGCCTCAGTTTCTTTGTTATCTTCATCATCTCCTATTTATTATTAGATGATATTTGATATGAATGGAATAGAATAGAATATTTCAGTTTCTTTTGTTTTTGACTTGTCTATGTATTAACGAATTTTTTTTTGAGTAAATTTCATTGTGAACAATTGTGTACTATTGATGAAATAGAATAAAATAGAGTTTTTATTCATGTTTTGCTGACACAGTTAAATGTTTCTGAATGAGTAAAATTAACTTCGATAATAAATTTTGTAAAATTTTATCCTTTAATAACATGCTATTATTTTTTACATAATTTACCTTTTTTTTTTGCATAATTCGCTTAAGTCATTTTTAATTCGCCTAAACAGTTTAAAATTTACTTAAGCAAATTTGAACATCATTTTCCCGCCAGAACATGAGAGGATCTGAATCCAATTATTTGAGTCGAAGTATGTAGAGCAATCTATTTAATCAGTAAATCCATTTATCAGTACATGAACCTGTTTAAAGTGACAATTATCTTTTAAAAATGTAAATATTTATTTTAAATTAAAAGTATTTAAAATGAAACTATAGTTATCCGTACAACAATAATTTTATAATGACTTATCTTTATTTAAGTTAAAAATTACAAATATAACTAAAAAAGTATAATTAAAATAACAACTTTTTTAACTTTCTTAACATTACACGTAATAAAAAATCATATATATATATTACTAAATTTTTATTAAAAATTTAATATAATTAAATACTAAATATTATAATTTTAAATAAAACTATTATTGATTAATTTCTTATTTTGTATGATATTCCGTAGGATAGAAAATTTGTTAAAACTTTTATACTCCTCACGACAGAGATACTTTCATGTTAGCAAATTCATTTAAGTGATACATTTAAATCAATGTTTAAAAGTTATGGAAAATAAATAGGCATAGGCTCTTGATGTGTATGGCTACTTGTTTATATGTCAAGTCAGAAAAGGGCCAATTTTTAAAACAAGTGATCAAATTCAAACTAATTAAAGTGATTTCAGAAAGTGTTTTCTTATTTTTAATAGAGTTCTGTTAAGATCATTTTTTAAAAGTTAAATTTAAGTATTTAAAAATATAATAAATATTTTTTAATAAAATGTTATTATTATTAAAACTAAGATTAGTGATTTTTTTTAGCATGATCAATATCTTTTTCTTTGTAAAATATATTTTATCCTTATTTTTTAAAATAATATTTTGAATTTATTCATGCCTATTAGTTCGAGAGATAAAAAAAAAAACTTTATTTCTTTAAATGAGATTTCAAATATTAGCCGAAAAAGAATCGATATCCTAAAAAGCTTAGCTTCTTAGGTAAATCCATTCAAATAGACTCAAATGACTCAAGACTGATATAACTTTCAAATTTCAAGTGTCTTGGACAAAAGAAAAAATTAGTGGACAGACATCCTTTATTAATTTTTAATATTTTTCTTATAAAAATATTTATGTTAAAAAATAATAATTAAATGAACTTTATTTTAATAACACAAAATTAAGTATTAAATGAACTTTCTTAAGGCTAGATTCTATAGAAACTGTGTGATCTAGGCTTAGTGCCTAGTTTTTTTTGCTTCTGGACTTTTGCTCCATTCTATATATATATAAAAAATTCTCAGTCCCTTATCATTTTAAGTATATAGTCAGTTAATTTAACTTCTAAGTATATTTGATACAATTCAATTATTCAAGAGTATGCATTTTCTGTCCATCCATAAAGAGAAGAAACCAAGAGAAAAAAAAGAAGATAGAAACATGAAGTTTCAAGTTTCAATAATGGGCTTTGATAAATTCGGAAACACATGCATGCAAAGAATTGGTTGTATGTAATATAAAATGCTCCAATTTTATTGCTTTAATGAAGTATATATGTAAAAGCACCTATATCACTCACTATTATTGTTCATACACACACAACCCACAGAAAATTTTCAAAGCCAGGGAGAATTGTAAATAGGAGTTACAACAGATTTAACTTGTAGATACTTATGTAGAGCTTCCAATCCAAAATCTCTTTCAAATCCACTCATTTTGTACCCTCCATAAGGAATGTCATTGCCAAAGGCAAAGTAGCAATTGATCCAAACAATGCCTGCACGAATGGACCTTGACACTGTGTTTGCTGTATCCAAGCTCTTGGTCACAATGCCTGCTGCTAGGCCATATCTTGTATTGTTGGCACTCTTAATTGCATCCTCAATATTCCTGTTCATTTATTATCCTTCAATATAGTTTTCATGCATTTTTTTGGTACTACTAGAACCACAATAATAGTAATAAATAAATAAGATTAGAACTTACTTAAACTTCATTAGTGCCATGACAGGGCCAAATATTTCATCCTGTACTATAAGCATGTCCTCCTGAAGTGGTTATTATGAATAAAAAAGGAAAACAAAATATGATGATTAGTTATCTAATTATTCTGAAGGAACCTATTTATACTTTTGTGGGGTTAAAATTCACCTTCACATTAGAGAAAATTGTGGGCTCAATGTAGTAACCCTTGTGACCCACTCTTTTACCTCCTGTCAAAAGGGTGGCACCTTCTCTCTTTCCGTGCTCAACATAGGAAAGTATCTTCTCAAATTGCTTTTTATCAACCTACAACAGGAAAAGATATTAGCCAACAGAAGAGGATTATAATCACTACTCTCATTTTCTGTTCTGCATGCAGCCAAGAGTAATGCTTAATAAAATGATTGGAGGTTTGCTAGAAAACAAAGAAAACGCGTTAGATAATTAGTAAAACAATATATAACAGGGTTATGACTCTAAACTACTACGCCTTTTTATATAAATAAACTACTTTCTCCTTAATTTTGAATCAGACCCATATCCAAAATCTTAATATGTTATGTTTTTATAGCTAATGTAGACATAATTGTGCTATTTTATGTTCATACCTGAGGCCCTTGTTGAGAGTTAGGATTAAAAGGATCCCCAACCACCCAAGCTTTTGCTTTCTCCACCAACTTCTTCTCAAATTCATCGTAGATTCCTTCCTGAACTAACACACGGGAACCAGCAACACATATTTCTCCCTGAAATAAGACAGGAGGAGAAAAAATACATGTTAGAATAAATATATTAATTTGGATTGCTTTAATAAAAGGAATAAGATATCTTAAAAGAAATTTCACCTTATTAAATACGATACCCAATAGAGCAAGCTCAGCAGCTTTATCTACATCAGCATCATCAAAAACTAAAAGGGGTGATTTGCCTCCTAATTCAAGTGAAACTGGTTTCAAATTGCTACTAGCTGCAGCACGCATTATTTCACGTCCTACTTCTGTCGAACCAGTAAAGCTGACCTGTATACACATGCACAATCAAGCCATTTCTATTAGTCTCATTTTAAACCATGCTACTTCTTAGTGTTTGACATGCAAGTAAAATACCTTATCAATGTCCATGTGTGAGCTTATTGCAGCACCTGCAGTTGGGCCAAATCCAGGTACCACATTGAGTACTCCATCTGGAATTCCAGCCTTTAAAAGATAAACAAGCATGGAAAACCCATTAGCTTAAACTGTAGTAATAAACTTGTAAATGCCAATTATATTTTATGAATGTGTTTGGATACAAAACTTATTTAAAATATGCAATAAGTTTTTTAAAACGATAGTGTATGTAACAAATTTATTAGAATAAATTAAAAATAATTTATTTTGATAAATTATACTAAGATATTTATTGAAACCATAAGCTATTTTCATAATCTGTTGATAAGTTCTTCCAAATAGATCAATATGAAATGAAGCATTTGTTGAAGGAACATACCAGCTTAGCCAAATGAGCATAAAACAAAGCTGAGAGAGGTGTTTGTTCAGCAGGCTTGAGGACCATAGTGCAACCAGCAGCCAAGGAAGGACCAACCTTGGCAACAAACATAGTACTTGGGAAATTCCAAGGAATAATGTGTCCCACAACACCAATTGGTTCCATTAAAGTATACGCATGCAACTCTCTAGAGGGTTTTAAGACCTCTCCATGAATTTTATCAGCAGCACCAGCATAGTAACGTATGGTATCTGCTGCCGCAGGAATGTCAACAGCCTTGCACCAATTGTACAACTTTCCTCCATCAATGGCATCTAATGCTGCTATTTCTTCTATGTTCTCATCAATAAGGTTTGCCCATTTCATCATAATTTTTGCTCTTTCCTGATTTTCGTACCATATCAAATTTAATATACTATATAAACATTAAGCACAAAATATTCTCTTTTTTTTTTTTCAATAATCGGCTATTTTAACGTATACTCAAGCGTTTATACTTGATATCTATTTTTGTTATGTATATTTGTTTATTTTGAGTTCTTAATTTAATTTGAACATTTTAAACCATAACGTTTTTTATTAAAAAAATAAAATATTTATTACACTGAAAATACAGAAATATACTAATTATTTTAAATTTTTTTATATATTTCAAATGAATATTAAAAATTGAGATTGTCAAAATCATTAACATTGGCGTGGAATTTTGAAATGGACTGAGTAAAGTTGAAAAGATCTTTCTTTGGAACGTAGCGTCGGCCCAGCATTAGAGTTTTTGTTCATATTTGAAGTCAAACTCAAAGACCAAAGAAAAATAATAAAATAAGTCAAACTCAAAATACACGATATGTTCTATTAGGCTCTTTTTGACTTTCAATAGTCAGTCATCCTTAATGCTAAGTACTCAAACCACATCCCTTTCTTAAAAATAATATTAATCTTACTCCAATTTTAAGCATTTGCAAATATAATATTTTATTAAAATTTTAAATGTTTATTATATTAAAAATGAACTTTTTATTTTCCCACCGATTAAAATCTTTATCCGACTTAAATTATTCGTGTAAGAGATGGCTTAATAATGCTTTACTATTCCCTCCCTCTTCCACTTGTGCTCTGATAAGGTGATTTTCAACAGGATTTATAAATTAAATTAAAATTAAAAAAGTGGTAATAAAGGGGTTTTTAAGAATTTTAAATATTTTAAAATGGAAAGTATATTTCCCCCCTATCAGTATCACATAAAAAGAATGTAGGATCTCGCTATTGTTTCTTCAATTTCTTCGTCAGCTAAGATTAATTAATAAATGAAAAAAAAAAACACGGGTTGCATAATTTTGATTTTTTAAATATAAATCTCTATTTTATCACTAAGTTTTGAATTATTAAACATTAACACTTTAATAAGTTAAATTACAAAACTAATCATTCATAAAAACAAAGATTATTTGTTTTCTAGAAATAAAATTGTATTAACTAAAGTTCAGAAAAGGAAAATCAGAGTGGATGTTCAAGGATAAAGATATAAACATTAAAATTAAACATATGCAAACGAAAGCTCAAATAAATAAAAGCTATAGTAGTTAATTATAATTATAAAATTATTTGAATCATTTTATACGTTGTCACCATGTTGACTTGAGTGGTCCAATGCTCTCATACGTCATTAGTATGGACAAAGTTCATATTTCCTAGTACAATGTATCCAGAAAAATCTATTTCTAATACATAAAATATGCTACTGACTTCATTAAATTACATAATAATTTAAATGTTATTTATACAATTTTAACTTATGCTGGCATAATTTTATCAACTTAATATTATTCATTTGAACGATTAATCCAAAAGATTAAAAAAATCCTCAGAATAAACCAATCAAATAAAATAATTACTAATAAATAATCAAGCATTTCTACGATTTGACTAACGACTTGTTGTTATTCAATTTACTTCAAATCCAATTATGCGTCAATCGTATCAACATATGGTTTGTTTTTTCTTGAAAGTTTTGTTAAATTAATTTCTAATAAATGCAAACTATGTGTCAACCACATCAATGGCCGTGCATTCTGCTACCATTGCTACGAGGCTCCCTCTAACGACAAGTGGGAGGAAAAAGTCAAAACGCATAATTAATGAAGGGTATCGTACATTAGTTAGCAAATTAAATAAAAATTTATTAAAATGTATCAAAAATTAAAAGTTTATTAAATTCTAACTAATGTGTATTTAACTTATTAGATAACATTTTTAATATCTATAATATAATAATATTTCATAATAAAATTTATTATTTTTAAATGCTTAAATTTAATTTTAGAAATTAAATTAAAAACATAAAAACTTATGAACAATACTTTTAACCTTTAAATTAATATTAAGATATTGATTTTTTAAAAATTTATTAGTGACTGAAACTTCCGGGAACTCATCTGGAGAGAGAGAAAGTCAAATGAAACAGAGGCAGCATCTAAAAAGTTTATGAAGATTATCAAGAAATAGACAGACGTAATAGTTCATTAAAAATTAAATTAAATTTTATGAAAAATATTAATTATTTTGTTTTTAAAATAATGAACTTTTGATCATTAAAAACAATAATTAACATTTACTACGAAATAGCGACAAATAATATTCTAAAGAGAAGAAAAGGAGAAATGACAACGTACAGCGCCGGGCATGCGAGGCCATGGACCATGGTCGAAAGCGACACGTGCCGCCTTCACAGCAGCATCAATGTCTTCTTTTGCTCCCTCTGCTATTGTCGCAATCACTTCTTCGGTTCTCGGATCTATTGTTTCGAACTCCCTTCCTGTTTTTTTTTTTTTCCCAATTTTATAAAAAAAAATTAAACACAATAGCACAAAAATGTTTTCCAAATTTATTTATTTTTAAATAAAGCACTTTAATATTTCGTGTTTAGCTTTCTGCAATCATTTTTCACCCTTTACAGTTAATTAAAATATAAATTACATAAAGCTAAAGTTTACTTTATTATGAATACTGCAAAGATCAATAAGCATGATAAGAGGTGACATAAAAAAAATAGATAGAAAAATTATGTGATGTGATAAATAAAGTAAAAGAGATAGATGTAAATATAACGGCTATTGTAAATGTATATATAAAAAATAAAATTTTAAATTTATTAATATGGGTTGAGAATAACGGCTGCTGGGGAACTCTTATCTATTCACCCGCTTTACACCAACCAATGAATCAACCTAACCTATATATATACACCCAAGCTGTTATCCTCATCTACCTTGGAATTATCGTTTAATATTTTCTATGGCGTATTCTTAATTATTTTTTAAAAAAGTAATTTTTGATCAAACTAATAATATTTATGTAGTTAATATCATCTAATGAGATATAATATTTTATAATTGTGTTTTGACGTGAAAAATGATATGGGGTCGAAAGATAAGAGAAAGGAGATTAGAGAAGAAGGATGAATAAGAGAAAAGTATATATAGAAAGTTATAAGAAGAGAAAGAAAAGGAAATTAAAGAGGTAGAGTAATTATGAACCTGAAAGGGAATCAACAAATTCTCCATTGATGAAGAGCTTGGTGAATTTGATTGGGGGCATCTTGAAGAAGGAAGAAGCGTGGCCATTGGAGAGACCAGTCATGTTTTTGCAGAGACAAGATCACAAGGCAACTTGTTGAAGTAAACTGTTTTGATTTGAAGAAATTGGAAGAGGAACTTTTTTATATAGAGACAAGAGCAACCAGTGGACAGAGTCACAGAAACATGGCACGTTGTGCCAAACACGACACATTAGTCTCTGTGCCCCTTTCAAAATAATGAATAATAGACAATTTATTTCTGGACCCAAATCACTTTTTTCCCTTGACTCTCTCTAATTTGACAAATTAAATGTAAGTACAATTTTATAAGTATTTTAGTATTATTTCTTAATTAAAATTATAATTTTATCTTGATAATATGTGTTAATTTTTATTGTATAAATTATTGAAATAAAATTTTAACTTTAATTGTTTATTATTAGTTTTTAAATATTACATTTAATTCCTCAAATTTGTAGCCTGACATTCGGTACCCTAGTTATTTGGTTAATTAACCCTCACATTGTATTCATTGACCTAATGTGAGTCAAAAGATATTAACAAATTCAATTTTTTGTCAGGGACGAATAAAAGATTAAGTTATTTCTTCGAGGATAACATGGTAGCTTTATTTTTCACCAATGATCCTTCAATGCAAGCCATTGTTACTGCTTGATCCTTTTTAATGGCACTAATGTTACTGAAGGAGGATCGTCCTCTATTTAAAGTATGGTATTTTCCCTCTCTCAGCACCTTTGCATATGCCCTTTTGAATTGTTGATTGCAGGAAATTTACTCTCTTTTTCACACCTTTGTTTGTTAGTGAAGGTTCCATTTATTTAGGGTTCATCAAGCATGAGTAGAGTTAAGATAGTGAGACTAGGAAATTGTAGTAAAATCTACCACATTTGATTTCTTGGGTGTAAAAAAGCAGAGTTACATGTCTTAATATTATGTCCTTTCCCATCTACTATAGGGAAGGCATAAATGTTCCAACAATAACTATTTGTAACACGTCTAATCTTAGTCTTCTCATTTTTATATAATTTATAAATTAACTTTCACATAATAGAAATCTATTAAACTAGTGCTTGATTCAATTCCTTATCTAAATGCATCATTTATGTACAGAATTTATTTATCCCATATCCCTTTCACCGTCCTTCTAAATATTGCAACTAGTTAGAGAGAATCCAACATTTCATGCATGAATATAGTTAAGGTGAGGTTGATTGTATCTAAAGTCTATTGATATTTTGTGATTTTTAACGTGGATTTGATAGAATAAAAAAATTATCATTCATTATATTATTAAAAATCATTTTAAAAATTAAGGTGCAAATTTATTTATTTATTATCTTTCTTTCTCGTGTTAATGAAATTTGAGTTATCCTAATGATTATTTCAAGTGTACATTAAAAATGTCTAATAAAAATGCAGTATTTAATATATGTAATAAATACATTAAGAATGTTGTTAGCATTTATTATAAAATTATTTCAATTTTAAAATATCTTTTATTATTTAATTTATTTAATTTACAATAAGTGTATAAATAAATATTTAAAAATTTGGTAAAAATATATATATAGTTCAAATAGTAATATTCAATAGTTTCTTGAAATTTTAAATAAAAATATTACAAAAACAAATAAATAGAAAATTCGAAAGAAGTATGAATTAAGATTTTCTTCCTAAAAACTGGAAAGGTAAATAGAAATAATCAACTAACCGCCTACCAATAACTGTTGAAAAGGGTTTATAATCAATTAGCGTGGAAATAATGTACTTTGTCATCATTAAAGTCAAAGAAATGTTTAGCAGCGATCCCAAAAGTAAAACATGCTAATATTTTCTTACTGGAAAGAAAAATCAAAATCGATTTTTCTGTTAGATTGAAGAGAAAAAATTAATTAACACCTAAAAATAATAATTAACAATATATATGGATTACATTTTTAGAATCTTAAAATGGTTAAAAAAATACGATTAATTGTAGTAATTCTCATTGGATAAATATTGGACCATTTCACTAATTTCTCATCCAAAGGGTAAATTTTAATTTTGTTTAAATTATTCTACAAAATTATAGTTTTAAAATTTTATACTTGTCTTTAGATTGCATTATTGATTTGACTTCTTTAATTGATGTGTACAGCACTTTTTGAAGGTTCCATTTTTCTTCCTCTTCACTTTCATTTTACTCCTGCAAAGTATGATAACTTGAGTTATTAAATTAAAGATCAAGATAAATATACTTGATTTATAAATAGTCTAGTGATTGATTTTAATATGTTGTAATTTACGAGTAACATAAAGAAAAAGCTTAATAAACTGTATTGATAAATTTTGAAAGTTTTACATCTCTACTTAACCTTTATCTTTGCATGGTTAACTTGTTTTGGAATTTAAGGTCTAATTTGTGGTTGATTATTTTAATTACGGGTTTTAAAAATAATATATCAAAATATGATGCTTTTTAAAAAATTACAAAAATATAAAATTCAATAATTGTTGATGGTAAATTTTAATACAGGACCGTAGATTCAGAAACATAACGACAAAAAATATAAAGTACTAAAATTTACAGTTTCAAATAAATATTAAAAATTATAAAAAATTAAAACTCCTCCATGACAATTTTTAAAATATAAAAAAAATAAACGGCGATTCTCGAAAAAAATTAAAAAATCATCATTAATTATTTTTAAAAATTTATCATATTTTTGTAATTTCTCTCAAAATATCATATTCATATAAAAAGAGTTGTAATTTGTTGCAATGCATGTATTTACAATCAGTAGGACCTCTTGGTAAGAAAGACATCACAAGAATAAGTGACGAATTGTAGTTGATTTTGTTTTATTAGTTAAATTAAAATAAAAAATGAAAAAGAGATAAAATAACAAAATTTATGTGAGTGGTTGATATTCACGAACACAAATGTACTAATAAATAATATAATAAAATTAAAATCTTATCTTGCACAAATTTACCAGAAGTGAAAAAAAATTATTGTTATAATAATTAAAAATAATAAAATAAAAGTTAAATACCAAATTATTTAATATGAAAAACACTCTAAACTTAAGAGGAAAAAAGCACATTTGTAACCGGTCAATAAAACTAAATAACAAAACTTACAAAATTAAAAATTAAGAAAATGAAAACACTCTTAAAATAAAAATATTGTGTAAACAATATTAGTCACATCACAAAACTTGTTTTGATGATAGAGCCATTTAAAATGAAGATTCAAACATTGAAAAATTATTGTCAAATTTTCAATTCAATCCAACAATAAATCATTTCACATGTGGAGATTTATGGAAACTACTCTAATTCATGGAAAAAAAACGCTCTCTCATTCAACTCTAAAAGTTGATCCTCACATTTATAAATTAAATTTGTTTATTTTTAAACTTTTTTTTTTACATGAAACGAGAGTCAAATGCCAACTAGCTTGAGTTTTTATTTTTTTATTTTTTAAGTTGTCAAAACTTATAATGATTTACTCTTAAATTTATGTAAGTTTCTAAAATTTTGTATAGAGTCAAGAGTGAAAAGAATAAAAGAGAAGATAAAAAAAATTAATTAGCAATTAAATTTCACTGTTTAAGAGAATTAAAAAATATAATTAATCTCATTGGAAAGGTACAGTTTTAAAATTCAACGAGTATAAGAATGTATTTATAACTAATTAATGGTACTTTTTTCATATACCAGAATTAGGTAACTTCTAGTCACCTAAGGCAATAATAGATCTAGAAATTTAAAGCTAAGGATACACATAAATCGGTGGTAGTATTAAAAATATAACGTATTACTGTTAAAACTATAAATACATATCATAATTCATAATTGTTGTTTTAAGAGTTTTTAGCTTTTGAAAATTTTGAACATCTTTATATTTTTTAATATTATAAAAAATTGTAATTTCTTTATATTTTTTAAAACTTAGAAGACTCAAAATTAGTCGAATAAAACCAGAAGAAAAAAAAAATACTATACTATTAGGACATTAAAAAAGTTGTAAAGAGAGGTGCACCATACACAATATTAAATATATAAAATATAAAAATTGAGAGAAAAATTTGTAATAAGAGAATTTAAACTTTGTCAAAACAAAGTTGAAGGAAATGATAGTAAAGGGATAAATGTAAGGTCTTTTGGTTTAGAAAATAAAAATAAAAATTATTTGTAAATACAAAACTATCTCCTTCGGTTGGAGGTTATTTTTTGAGATGCATGTATACTTAAATTTTTTAGGATTAAATTTTTTTAAAGCTAATTAAATACTTATTTTAAATTAAGTTGGTTTATATTTAGTAGATAAATGAAAAAATAAAAAATATAGATGTGGGTAATATTTTATGGATATACTTTTATTCATATGATATGTGTAAGGTTAATGTTATTCTTTATTGGTTTCAGTAAAAATATTATGTACATAAAAAAGTGTATTTTTTTTAATCTGTTTAAATGTTTTGTTTTATATACATTTTTTTGGAACTCACTAAAAATTTTTCTCACACAAAATGGTGAGACTTTGTGTAAAAAAAGTGACGAGAATGTTTTATATTTTATCAAAATAATTTTTAAAAAATATAAAATAAAAAAATTCACAATCAAGAAAAAAGAGTATATTAAAATGTTTAATTATTTGTTACAATAAAATTTTAATTATATATAAAAATATATTTTTAATATAAATTACCTGTTTTATATTGTCTTCTCATTTTTTTCAAATAAATAAAATTTTTTATTATTTTATTTTCTTCACTATATTCTACTCATTTTCCGTTAGATCGAAGCATAGTATTAAAGTTTAATTAATAAATAAGCATCTAAAAATTAAAAATATATTTATTTTATTAAAATTATAAAAGTGTGATAAACATTTATAAAAAATAAAATTATTATTATTTTCTTAAAAATTAAGGTTAATATTTTATTGTATATAATATGAAAATATTTATGTGGAGAGCTGCCTCAGCACCACAAAAGTGGATCCGTACACAACTTATTTTAGTAAAACGTGGATATCATCTGCAACATGCAATTTACTCTAATACTTGTATATAACACCTAAACAAACAATATTTAGTAATAGGAATATCTAAATGAATATCAAAACAGTAAATTTTCTTTGCATTTGGAATAAAATAACTATATTAAATATTCATATTTATAATATAATCA